TTTTGGGGGGGGGGGGGGGGGTTATGCCCCACCGTGCAATAAAGTTTCTTTTCACTGCATCCAACGAAAGGTACAAAAGGCCCCCAACTGACCAGCGCAGTGTGTGAAGTGAAAAACACACATTACTTTCATTATGAAAAAAGGCAGTCTTTTGGCATTATCATCACCATCACTACCAATAAAACTGATAGAAATATACCATTAATACATACTAGCACGTAACAGCCATAAGTTATAAGTCATTGTAGCGCGTTGTTATGCCGTTTTTCCCTATAGGGGATGGTCGTAGCATTCGCGCATAACTTGAGCTCGCTCTTTGCAAATAACACCCACTGAGGAAATGAGTCTGAAATTCTCAAATAACGCTCCGGTGACACTGATTGCGAAAATCTTAAAGAGGCCAGTAAATTCACAATATAACGTTTGGCTGGAAGTTCCACTAGCTATTCATTTCCAATTTACCTGCATTTGTTTGAGCTTGATATCCAGTTTCTTCAGTTGAGTTTCCACAAGCTGAGCGACCAGGCCTTTGATCCGTTTCTCTTCAACACTGGCAAGGTGACGTGCTTTGGTTGCTGCCGCGGCCAGTGCACAAGCTGCGGCTGTACCTAGGCTATCAGGGTTCGATGGGAGGCAGCTCTGGGGCTGAGACTTGCCGGTGCTCAGTTCGTCTTCCGGTGGTGTTGTGTCTGCAGTGGTTTCTACCGGGGTGGCGGACGATTGTTGTTTAGGATCCTCAGTAGAGACATCCATCGGCTCCGTTGGTTCCGTAGGTCCAACTGCTGCTGATGAGCTGGATTCCTCAGCTGCGGTCTCCTCGGCCTTTTCCTCAGATGGAGCTGTGTTAACACTTGATTCGGACTCCAAAGATTCAACCTTGATAGTTTCGGGTCCCTTCGTTGCCTCATCTTCAAGCTTTTCTCCTGGTGCACTGTCATCCTGGGGTGGCTGGAAGTGACACATTATAAAGGATTATTGTGTCGTAGGAGACTCCAGACATCGTACACATTTACACTCGTTTGTTTAATTTTTAGCAGTAAAACGCAGACAAGTAGCAAGGCGACCTAAATTACCTTTATACCATAGAATCAGGAAGCGGAAAGGCTGTCGACTGGGCAGATGAAGTGGGTCTGGAAACATTGGTAAACTGATCAGTAATCCAAGTACATTTGTCTAATGATTTCGATAGTCGAATTAAACAAGTGTGGTTCGAACGCCCGTTACAAATTGTCTACAACAAGCCACAAAGAGCCGGTTTGTTTTGAGCCAGAAACGTGAATGCCAATCCATTTTCATACTGAAATCGATGTTTCAAATTACACAATGACGAAAGTGGAGAATAGGAACGTTGATAAGGGCTGAGCCAGGGATATTGAATCCTTGAGAACTCAGACCCTATCATTTTCATCAGATAAGGTGTATCCCAAAGGCCGAACAAAGTAAATACATATCCAGTGAAAGGAACGGAAGGGTTGTCATGCAAGTCCACTAAGATAACAACAGGGGATCAGGTGGTGAACTACTGCAACATCGGGGAAGATACATGTGTTGCAACAGATCAGGTGAATTACGAACACCCCAGCAAGAGCCAACGCAAACGTAAATACGCACCCATCACCTATGCTCCAAACAGATAGCTAACTATTGGAGGCAATTTGTCCAAGGGTGCACAAGGTTTTAGCCCTACACTGCAAAACCCTGACAGCAGCGGTGCGTTTTGCAGTAAAGAACGGAAAGCAGAGCGCTTTTGCACTTATGAACTTCCCACACACAACCCAATCCTCCCGCGTCAGACTATGACCACCTAAGATCGTCATTGCACGCCACTTCCGTCCAATGAACAGATTACTGAAAGGCTTCAACGTAAACACCTATTAACAAGGGATATCTTGAGTCTAATAGTCCGAAAGAATATATACCACCAAGAATGCATGAACACACGCACTTTAATATATTACAACAAACGGCTCGAAAAGGTTTGTTCCGGGCTCACTGGAAGACAGTGAGGTCAAGCTGGGTCTACTTGGAGGTACTACCGGAGGTACTAAGGAGGAAAAGCTGATAAGGAAAGTTATGCAGAAGGGACTTTTTGAGATAAGAAGGGATAAAAAACAAACCTGAACTTTTTCTTCTGGCTCCAGAGCAGACTCAGCCGGCTTTTCAACTTCTTCTGGGATAGATTTCTTATCCTGTTGCTCCAGTGATTTACCGCTGCCCACTTCGTCCAAACCGAATTTGGTCGGGTCCACAGGTTGACCGAGCCGCACAGCTGCTTCAACGCGGGCCTTGTGTTCCTGGAGCAGTCCAGCAGGGACTTCATCGCGCATCTTCGCATACTCCGTCAGCGCTGCTTGTGCAGCTGCAGCGGCAACACGTGGGTCGACAGCCGCGGCCAAGAATGCTACCGTCGCCAGAATAGGATTTGCAGCTTTGGAGAATGGTGGGACCGGGTGACTAGCGTTGGCCAATGACGTAAGGTTGATTAGGGGATCAGAACCCTCCAAATAGGCATCCTCAATCGGAAGGCGTAGGAAATGCAAGATGCATTCTTCTTGCGTACGGCTACCCACATGTTCGGCCACCTGGTAATATGAGAACAGTTATCAGATTAGGAAACCCTACAGCCTCAGGTGATCCTCTTCACAGAGACAAACCAATTCTGGCCAGTCCACGATGAATTTTAGAAATGTAGAAAAAGTTGCTCAGATCGGAAAACTGAGGTTTGCAAGAAAACGTCTAGTCAAAATTTCCACTGGAAGACAGCAAAAATAGGTAAGATCAACCTACATGACATGTAAGTTCTGAAGAGGGCCGTTTATGAAAAATGCGAACCAAGCGATATCGTGCTAATCCATGGGGGCGATTCTTCCCAGTGCACCAACGCGCATGGTATATCGACAAAATATGGATAAGGTCAGCCATCGGGTGCGTTGGGCCGACTGACAAAGGTACGATTAGAACTCCACATGTTATGCTACACAAAGCGTATCTACGAATGGCCCAATTAACATTAAGGGTTAAACACCCAGCACGAAAACGAAGCTTCACGTGGCTGCTGGGGATGGAGAATAATGAATCAGTTTGCAACGTTTGATAGAGACTTATTTTCATCGAACTAAATAATTCCTTTGAGTTCAGTGGCAAATTACCATCAACAACTAAGGGCACGTGGGATCGATCAGGGGTGAGTAGTTACGGAACTGCCGCCATCGAGGAGAATAGGCAACCGTTATCAAGAGAAAACGACTTGGCAATCATGATACCTTCAATCTTAAATACGGCGAAATCTTTTTTCGAGGGAACATTTTCCCCATTGGCTCCCACTGTCTCGCAAAAGAAATCACCTCTGGTTGACTCGCTCGTGAACGGACATAGGAAAGTAATCTGGGAAGTTGGGAGGTTTTGTACCTAGTATAGACAAGCAATTGTCGATCAACATATCATAAAAGTGGAAACACGTGTTCTGTGTGGGACAAAAGAATTAGAGTGCTTCCTTGAAAAAACGGATGATCGACTAGTCTACTTCGAAATAGACTCCTTTTCTTAAGGGTCACTGACGTTAGCATCCATGTAAGGCATCTATACTTACTCTGATAACTCCTAATCACTTATTCCCTTCGTTGACGTTTAGTGTGTATGGGCCATAAATCTGGCATAAACATGAAGACATTGTCCAACCGGTTGCAAGGGTGACTATCGTCTCCTCCGATAGAAGAGGACCTACAAACGATTGGAATACTGAAGGCAACAACCCAATAACGTGATCAGCGGTGCACCAGAGCTACCATCTTAAGCGTGCAGCTATCCACATCACGTACAAAATACTGAACAATTGTATCCCCAGGCTATTGCTAACTGTAATCAACGTCGGGATTGCACTGGTACAAACTAGTGTTTGCATATTCCTCTATTGTCAGTGAGGAAAAAACACTAGCGCTAAATGCCATACCCTCTCTCTATCTTATCGCCGAGGTCACGATATCCTCGACAATACGATCTACAACCACACACCCTGCTAAATTTCAGTTTATTCGTCCCCCCACCCCACCCTAAATGCGTTCGACTTAACTGATGTCCTGCCAGACAGGGATTACCATAAATAGGTTACGGCTGGGGTGCACTGATACTGTGTCCCGAGGTATAGTAGTTCCAGCTACTGCAGTTGCTCTCTCATCGATCGGGAGGGAGGGGAGGACAACCACTTGGTGAACATAAGTTTGTAACGGTTCATTACCAAAGTCAGACCGCTGCAAACCGTGGCATCACTGGAGCCCACTCAAGCTCCCGAAGAAGATAGTCGCAATAAAACGGTAGGGGAACAGTCGGTGGAGCAGATGGTTGCAAGATGACTGATATTTAGGTCGGCGCGTTATGCGGACAGCTGATAGCTCAGATACATGAGCGTCAAACTCTAAGTGATTGGGTCATTATTTTCAGTAGCTGGTTGCAGCAATTAAGAACGCAGCTTAAATGAATCTACTGAGCCGAACAGCCAACCGCCCCGTCCGATTCCGCTCCACACGAGCTGACAAAGACCATATCAAAAATTCGTCTGAGTTTCGTTAAGTTACGCTTTCCAGCAGCGTCGGGTGAATCCTGTGCTTCTGATAATTCATAACCGCCTGTTTATGCTACACGCAAAAAAGCAATATCGTTGGAAAACATAGTCACGTAAACAAAGCTAAGAAAACTAATGTGGGGAGAAAACAATTCAGAGTTGGTTACAAGCGCACCTTATTCCAATCATCGCGGTAGAGTTCAAGAGCCTCCAAGAGAAGCAGGGTCTCCTGATCTGTCCAACCACCTTGCGATGCACCCTTGAGTAGGGTTGCGTTGGTCCCTACGTTAGCTGCCGATACGTCCGCAGCAGCTGCGGGTTTGCTTGTATCTGTGGAGCTTTGACTTCCAAACGCACGAGCGACATTTGCTGGTGAGCTCAAATACTGGTCTGTTCGTAAACAAGGATCACCAACACTTGCGGGAGGTTTGGTTGTGACGGACAGTGCAGTAATTGGCGCAGCTGAGTTGCTCAAAGCCGAAGTGGATACAGCAGCTGTTGAGGCCGCCATTGTTTGGCCTTCACTGTTCTATAAAGAAAAAGCGAAACAAGTCGATACAAGCCAATAAGAAAAGTACTACTTTACGTCAAGTAACGCTAGCACATCCTGGTCTCTATTCCAGCCCCCAAACAACCAGAAAACTTGATACCAAACAGCGTAGAAAAGTGTTCGGAACGGATCTGTCAGACAGTCCAAAAATATCCATGGACATGGCAAGGAATGATGATTTCCACTGCCATAACCAAAACGCGATCCATGTTACCGATAACACGGCAGTTGGTATGCAATTTAATGGCCAGAAAGCCCGTGATTTGTGACTCATGACCGACCTCCTGGTTGTCTGGGTCCACGCTATCATGAATGGGTTACGTAACAATTACGTTACGGAATATTTGGCTTGATACGTCCATAATACAAACGAAGGAAGTGTAGTAGAGCCCTGTAGTAGCTCTGTGCAGTAGTGAGGACAAATTAAGTTGGAGAATCCATAACGATGGTTGTTGCCTGGGCATCGATCAAACAAATGAAACTGCATGCTTTTATCCAAACATGCGGCTCCAGGTCCCGGACAATCGGATGAGAAAATCCATTATGGTAACATACCTTTGTGACCAAGCAACTCATGTCGAGTTCCCAGTCATGGAATTTGAAAGGCGGACTATGGTTCGGTTGAACTCAGTATTGGGACGTTAAAATCACATTTTGATCGTCACGAGGACTCGTCGGATTCGCAAGCAAAGTACCTTAGATCATTGTGGGACGGAATCGAAGATAACGCACTGGATCGCAAGCTACCACCAATCTGTGATGCATGTACACCCAAACAAGTTCACTTTTCTATTTATTTGATAAACCAATAGCAGATGGTACGCTGGATCACCTCTATTCATACTGTCGTCCTTCATACTTTTTTCTTTTTGACTGCCATCACTTCCGATTGATATACGGAATGAATGAAAATTCACTTATTTCCACTCGGTGTAGAATGTCCGGAAGTGAGTCAACGGGTAAACAGGTAAACGGAGAAATCGGAAACAACCCAACGTCCTCCCTGTCCTTAGATTATCATGGGAACGTCAGGAAGATTACGTGCTCGTTTGTTCTCGGGTCCAAATGTTTATGTCAGGCGACAATGGTGATTATTCTCTATTCCAGGGACGACTTGCGATTTCACGTTCCAGACTGGCCCTCCGTGATCAAAAGCCTTTCAGTAAGTTTGCAAGTCGGCCATGTTCTCAACATTCTACTGAAATGCGCTGGATGTGTGGTCATAACGGTGTGCTCCAGGAAGCTATGACCCACCGACTAATTTTCAGGTGTGTTTGCCGCAACAAACGCACAATCGGGTGTCCAACAACGGAAATGAAAAAAATGATGAAAATTCGGGAACTGTGTTTACTTGATAAACCCCAAAAGGGGTTAGTTAGCTGGTATAGTATGCTGTACGGAGTTTTCATCGACTTTAAGAATGAGACTGGAACCTTCAAACCGACTCGTGGTTGGGGTACAAAAAATGACTAACCTGGATTCCTGCACCCCGAAAAACTGTGAATTCAGACTTTGATAAAAAAGTATTTGTTAACAAGTTTTCGTCGAAGGATCTACTTTGTGTGTTTATTCCGTCAAGGACCAAAGCCAGGCAGAAAAGTGGATGAATACTCCCCTACTGGCCGTCTTCGGTACAGTGCAAAACAAGTTGACTGACAAATATCGTTATTTGGCGAAAAATATCATTCATGTATGCATCAAACAGTTCGTAATGACCTGTTTTTCTAAGTTGCACAACAGTTATTTGCCTAGGTACACAACCTTTTCCCACCGCATGACCCAACGAATCCCTGACGTGTTTTCCTCTTCAGACGTCTCTGGGCGGTTTATCCGGTGGGAATGCGCCAGACCGTACTGGGACATGCAAAACTGCTTACGGAATGTATGGGGCTAAGGATAACCGACAAATTTTAAGTGGAATTCACGACTTGGAAGTGCCTCATAACGCTTGTTGACGCTCGCAATCCGGTCGTTCCTGAATCGGTGGAAACAGCAAGCCGTTTATCCTGGGCAAACAATGGCGGAAAACCATCCCGTTTCTGTTCGGCCCTTGAATAGCATCGATATTCACTAGATGATGAATGAAATGAAACACTGCACGTTTGTGTCCAACCTAACAGAGATGAGTTTGTCTGGTTCCACCGCATTTGTTCACTCAAAAAGCCTATTTAGTCTGCGACCTGAAGAATCTCATCCAAAGTCTGGCAAATGAATGGAAGATAACAAGACCTATGAAGAGACCCAGGGATCCATGCACGGCAGTGGCAACGATGGAAAACCTGGAGACAAAAGACCTTATGCTTATCTGTGGGGAAATCATACTCGATCAAGCAGCGACATTCTATTAAATCCATGGACTAACAACATGAACCTTGATCATCAAACGCGAGTAGCTCCACTTACCTATCCGTTGAAAGCAGGAAAATTCAGAAACATCGAGTTTTGACAGCAACGTAAAGTCTAAAACTAACCCGTCGAAATCGAGAGGTTATTAAGACTTAAAAAAGCTTTAACAATGGAGTGTCGACTACAAAATTCACCAATATCATTGACAGTAAGACGATTAAAATATGAAGATAATCTAATGCTTGCCTTATTCAGATTTTTTGTCATTTATGAGAAGGCTAAAGAACATGGAAGACGGTTCCACTGAAAATTGTGAAGAATGAAGCTGACCACTTACCTGAGCATCTGTCTTTGAAACGCCATTAACGGGTAATCCGGGTTCCGAATTTTCCTTGCCCATAGCATTCACATTTGGCTTGTTAAGGTCGGATGTATCTCCGACTCCGGTCGACGGCTGTCCTGCGACGCCGGTAGTATTAGCCAGTGCAGCCTGATTCTGCGCACCGACTGGCTGTAGCCCACTTGCACTGTCAGCCAGGACGTGGAAGTGTGCAGTGCTAGGTGGTCCGAGACTTGCGGCCACGGCTAGACGAGCGGCTTCCGCAGCACCACCAAGAGCTCCACCACTCAGACCGGTTGCTGCAGCCAGAGGTGCTGTTACTTGGTAGTTTATCAGGCCCCACTGCTCCAGGAAGGCATGTACCCGTAAGATAGCACAAACATCACCGGTGAGATTACGCCGACAAGCAGTGAACGTGAGGTATTCCTGGAAAGAATATGAATAGGACATTTGTCGGACCGATTGGGGATATTAAAACCACTAAGTTGATATCCACTGCATTCAAAAACCCCAGTTGGTTCACACGGATAAGAAAAAGCTCACCTGAGGATTCAGTCGGTAGGTGTCCACCATAAAATTACGATAGGCCAGATATACCTCCGGTGTTTTGCTCTTATTCTGACCATTGAAAAACTCGGGTAAGGCACGCCGTTCGATGCCATGAATTGCATTGTAGTCGAACCAAGCGGAATATGAAGGAATCACAATACAATGAGCTTGTTCAGTTACACTGAGATCTGTGTGAGCCCCACCACCTGCTGGACCGGGGTGACGCGTATCGTCAACATTCGGAGCTGGGGTGCCATCAACTGCAAAATCCAAAACAAGATTAGAACAAATACAGCTTAACATAGGTCGAATTCAGTATAATAAAAAAATTACCCTCAATATCACTACACCCAGTTGCAAAACTTCACTTACCATTGGCCCCTGCGGCATGCACATCGTTGATCCCATCAATCCCATCGCCAGTGTCTTCATCATCCAAGTCAAATAATATCGACTTTCCACCAGTAACGTCACCAGTAATCGGGCCTACTCGATTAGGTCGGGAAGTTCCCGAGACAACTTGCGCGTTACTGTTTCCCGACACCGCAGTCACTCGGTGTGTTGGTTCTGGGTCTTCGAACTCTTTGGATAGATCAGTCTCTTCTGGAATCGCGTCTGACGAGACCGTCTGGCACGATGCCTCATCTTCGTCCTGAAAACGGAAGTCGAAATAGCAATCAGTGCAATGTGAAAATGCGAGCGAGTTTTTGTTTAGTAAAATAGTGCAACCCATGAAAAGAATAAATACTCACCAAGCCAGAATAGATTATCAATTTGGTCTTGAGGAAATGGCAGATAGATAGGGATGTGGGAATGAAGTTCGATTTTATGAACACAACAGTCATAAAATAAACCAATTTCATACATTTAAACCTGGATAAATGCAAAGTTGCGTTGGTATGTGTACGTGGCCTGTACGAGGCCCGATCGATGAAGATATGCTAGGTGAACCTAGAATAGACCAACACGAATACATTGCGGAAGGGCAGACAATCGGCTACCATGAAGCGACAAGGGCTTACTGAATATATGTGCTGGTCATTCCAAATGACTACGAAACAGTAGTACAGCACCGTCCAGAGACCGCGCCACCACTAACAAATGTCGGTGTGGAATATAAATTCTTACCTACGGTAACTTGCCACATGTCAACCACGCCTAAGCTGAGCGGACTGCACACAGTAGTCCTCACAAGAGAGACCTTGCAAGAAGTTACAACGCTCGCTGCCGGTTGACAATTAATGTGCAACGGCCCTCTCTCTCTCTCTCAGAGGGGTTCCGCCATTTTTTCCTGCGTGAGATCTCCTGGACGGGGTTACCGGAATGCGCACATGTAAAATGTGTACGACAAAAAATTCGGGGAAATACCAACCATCAAGACACCCTGGGTGAAGGTAGTCAACCTGTGGGGATGACAACCGCGTCCACGACCAGTGCAAACCTTATTCTGAACATTTAGTTGGATACCGTTTTCTGGGATATATCCTAAAGTGTACTTGTCAGGATACATCATCATCATCATTGTCAGCTGTAATAACCCCGTACTCGTCGTACAGTGGTTGTAGCTGCCGCAGTCTCGTTCACCGATTATTTGGGGGGTGGGTAGGTAGCTGCGCATTGCAGCCGGGAGCTGATAAATTGGTGCACAAATCCAGAATTGTCACTCAGCTGTCAAGTGGGGGTTGGAAAAGGAGCTATGCATAGCTATGCGATAGCTTGGATGCACGAGCGCCATTGAGGGTGCCACTGGGCCATGTTTGACAATGTCTCTAGCCATTGATGTGGCCCGTCTCGGGGTACCCATCCAGGAAGACGGCAGTGACTAGTGTCAGGAACCATCAATCAATCATTCACGGCCAGAAGTAAGGTGGCTTCAGTTGTTAGAGCTTCACTCAAAAAGGGTGAGAATGATGATGATAATAATAATAATAATAATAGTAATAATAATAATAAACGCTCAGCTGTAACATTTTCTCGGTGCCTAGCTGTCACGGCATCCGAAGAAAGCATGAAGGTCGGGATACTGCCAGATTACCCAAGCCTAGATGAAGTCGAGATGTAGAGACCGGGTTGGAACCACGGACCTTCCGGTCAGTAAATTCGCACCCTAACTACTGAGCTACCTCGAGAAGAACAACAAGCATGTGTTGGAGGTTACGGCCCAATCTGTGCATTGGCTACAAATGGATCTGTCAGTCTAGTGTACTAGGAAGTGTGAGCTAGGCAGTGAAGGCAACGGCTTTTATCTAGGATCACCACTGGCTGCATAACACTACCAGATCTGTCAGGATCCCCAACCATTCCTTCGCCTCGTACCTCAGTCCCAAACTAACGAGACGGTAGTTACCAAAACGACTCAGTTGACTTTCATGCTTCTGTCAAGCCATGGATTGAGTCATCTCCATCAGACACAACGCTGGGCGAGGACAGGTCTACGAGGTAAACGATGCCCTGACATCCCAAGTAATTGGCAAGATCGGCGTAACCTGTGGACTATCACCAGCCAGACCACCGGGGCAGACGTTCCCCGAGAACCATCTGGCATACATCAACATTAACGATCAGACCACCGAAACATTTCAGAGGAACCGAGAGTCAAACACAGAGCCACGGGCAGTGGTCATGTCTTCGATCCGTAAAATAGAACAGATCGGACTGCAGCATTGTGCACTCTACCCTTGACAATCAAGCTGACGTCACGTCGGTGGTAAAATTGCAGGAGGTTGGCAAACGCTGTTCTGGTCTTTCCTATTCGGGAAGACTTCGTCTTTCACCACTCCGCAGGTGAGGGACAGTACAGTAGTATGAACGAACAGCGATAGGACTCGGTGTTCTAGGCAAATATCAGGACTGTATTGGGGGAAGGGGCTTTAGGACGCTGAACAGCAAACGATTTTCATTATAGTTCTCCAGAAATCAAGATAGATAGGCCTCTTATTTTATGCGGAATAACTCCACTGAAATAGATGAACGGCTTGACTCGGGACTTATTACTAATCACATACAAACGTAAATGAACCTAACCGCTCAAAATTAGGAAACTATAAAAACAAACAAACAATCCGAGGAAGCCCAGGGTTCGCACAAAACACAACCAAGAAAATGGAAATAAGCTCACTTCTTTTCGCACTTTTCTGTGACCGCTGTGACCGGCCGACAGACGGCCACTTCTTTCACCAGAGATTGATGAGCCAGGACGTCGCTTCTTGTGAGAACCAATCGTAAAGGTTGGGTCAGAAACGGAAGGCGAAGGTGAACGGCGTCTCTTCTTTTTCGAATTCGATTCGATAGGTGTCGGTGTGTTTGTAACTCCAGTTGATGCGTACTGAGAAGTGGATGATTGCAAACTGTTGCTGCTCGCGGACGTGCAGGCCACAGCTGCTGCGGCGGCAGCAAATTCATCAGCTAAAATGTATACAAGTCGAAGATTAGGAACGTGATGTTTTCTGATCGTCAAGAGGATGTCGAGCAAAAGATTGAAGGAGAAAACTTTTCGGGAAATTAGCCAGAGAAATACAGCCTGGGATTCATGGACAAGCGTCAACATATGCGTTGACAGAAACACCAGGGCATACGACTGCTTTCGGGAATGTGACAGAGATGCGACCAAACCTCTCCTAGAAGCTATCCTGGTGCTCACAGTAATAATCGAGTGGGAGACTAATCCTTCCCTCTCAAATTAGGTTAGCAGATCACCAAAGGTTTGTTCAAAAAGGGAAAACCAACGAGAACATCCTATATTTATGGACATTCATCCAAGTTGAAAACTATCTGCACCACCACGGATTTGAAAGGGGAAAAACAAACCTCGACTCTTGTTTAACTGGGACAAAGTTTCCTACGCAAAATTATCAAAAATAGAACACACTGCACGTACGTGAATAGGTAGTCCTTGGACGAACAGAACTTGTAGAAGTCAGGAAGTCCTCCTCAACCATCCAATCATTGTAGTCGCTCGAATACAACAACCAACGCGCGTCGACATCCCAAGGTCGGCCAGGCTCTGGTTGGGGAGCCGGTTCAACTTCGCTGGGCCACTCCATCTGAAGACCTGAGAAAAGATTACACCAAATTATCTTCCGACTATATCAAGAGCTTTGAAATTACTAATGGAAAAATGCAGAAGGCATAAGCAGTTCTAGCCCCATCTCCAAGACAATGCTCCGAAGTGGCAAATCATCCAAAAATGCCATGGGTCTGTAGCACTGCGAGAAACGGCGTGTTCCTCATCCTCATAAAAATGAGTTCAGGAAAATAAATTCTGCTGATTATTTATTTGAAAAGCTGAAATGATTTGACTCCGGTAATCAGTCATCCTCACATATATGTCGTTGACTGTATATCAATGTGTGTAACTGCATCAGCGCAAGGTTGTGCTTCGAAGGCATCCTCCGTGTACCTTTGGTCGTTCCCGGACCGGCAAGCGTCCCGAACTTTTGGACAATTTTGCGCGGGCTAGGCTTCTCGGCTGTAACGGCATCTGACTGCGGGGTGGTAAAGCGGGATCCGTGTGAAATTCCGCCTAACACATTTTCAAAGTTCTTGTACAAGGCACAATGTACCAAGTTGTGAGTATAGTCACATGCACCCAACTAAATGTCACTCCAACATCGCCAACGCACTATCTCCAAAAGGATTAAGCAATCAAACCGCAAATCTAGTTTGGCCTTCGATTTTTGCTGGACTACTACCACAAATAGAGCCAAACGCGTTTGGAAGTACCTCTAGAGTTGGGTGAGTGTCTATAAGCTTTACCGTAACTCCGAACTTAAATGTAAATGTATATACCAGCTGAATGAGAGCACAAAAGCAGCTAGAATCCCCAGTATGTTGCCCAGTTAACCGTCGTTTCGACAAAATTCATGAAGGGAACTGGATATACGAAACACCTCCTAATAGACGTGACAGGAGACACTTTGATTTGCAGTGACGCTGTAAGGAACCCAGATAACAGTAGATGGTTTAAAAACCGTTCATTCACATTCGGTAGCTAATGGCTACCTGATCAATCCGGTTCCATTGTTGTTCGTTAGCACGGATTCGCCGGACATCTAAACGCTGCCTGCGTAACCAGAGAACAGTTGGCAATCGGCACAAACCTGTCTAGAGACCAACCTAAAGAGACCGCCACATTACGCCCTTGATACCCCACTTGAACACTGGCATCCAGGAAATCTGTGTCAGATATGAAAGTGATAAGTTTCTCATAGAAAATATCTTCCGAGCTACGGTTCGTTGGTGCATAAGCAGGTAGTATGAAAAATATCATTTTGGCTATTGAGAATTCTCATGGGAGCACTTAGAACTTGTACCCGATTTTCGGGTGTTTTATATATGTCGACTGATGAATCAACAAAGTTGCACGCCAGAACTGGGATGCGCAGAAGTCGTTTAGCTAGGTGAGAAAGCAAAGGGTCCAAACGAGCCGGTACTAAACGAGAGGAGGCAACAGGCAACCGAAATCAAAGCCAATTACCCTAGAAGAAACCATCAACGAAATGAAATCTGTCCTCCCACATTTTATCGAACGGCCAGACCAAGACCGAAGTGAAGATAAGCACCAACGGGGCGAGATGGCTCAAGTGGTTAGAACGCGAATTTATTGACCGGAAAGTCCGTGGTTCGAACATGACCTCTGCCTCTCGACTTACCCTGTCTAGGCTTGGGTAACCTGGGAGTATCCCAGCCCTCGTGCTTCCTTTGGGTGGCGTGGCAGCTAGGTGCCGAAAGGGGGCTACAGCTGAACGATTGTCTTTATTTACCAACAGCGCTACAAAGCCATTTTTATAAAAGAAATGGGCTTTGAGACGTAGATCGGAAAGTACACTCAAAACCAAAATCCGAACCCGCAAGATGTCTGCCCACTACTACCCACTGTTCTATGTATACGACACCCAAGCAACAGGGAATGAGAAGTATTTAAGCAAACACACAAGAATCGCATTTAAACCAATCTGGATAAATTAGCCCTCCAAGGAAGCAGTCCACCAGCGTTGTCCCGGTTTATTGAAACCGCCCGTCGATATCCTGTGATATTCACCGCAAGGATTGGGACAAGCATTTTGCAGACCGGTTGAATAACCTGTGAAGATCCTTATCAACCGGCGTTCTCGCCGAAGGGACTAGGTCATTCGTCGCAGAATCGGGTACCGACAACTCAGCCCGCATTCTGTCGCGTGATCTGACACTAGAAACAAGTTTGTTATTTGTGCACATCTTGCCGCGCGTAAGGACAGCCATGCTACGTGACAGTCGCACAACTGGCTTTTCATCCTCAATGTGCCGTAGTAATAAGATAGGTAGTAAAGAGGCAGACGGATTAACTGCGCCATGCACAGAGATATTAATAGTGCGGAGAATGCCTGTCGCTCTTCCTCAAGTGGACGTTGATGTCATCACATTATCCCTGACAACAATACACAAGTACCACAAACTGGTGCTTGACTGTCACACAGCCATGAGGGAAGAAATCCCCGGTAAAAAGTGAAAAGGGAAAGGTAGGGACTCACTGTGAAGAAGTCCTATATCCTTAAGGAAAACGATCCAGAATAATGCCTAATCCAGTTTCATTTCACGTTACTACGCCATGGCTCATACCCCGTGAATCATTAAGTCGACTATTCCTATAGTTCGGCAATTCGAGCACCATGGTCCCCGTACTTCCTCCAAGTTGCACGGCAACTACACAGAGCAATTGGATTTTAGCTTATGCCCCGAGAAGGCGGAACACATTCTGATACCATAGTTTATCCCACGAAAACGCTGAAAAGATAAAAGACACTCCTGCAAATCCTGGAATTTCGTTCTTTGGAAAGTACTCAGAAAGGCCACCGTAGAGGACACGAGGAGAAACCGTGAATACTTACCAGTATACCAAGTCACATAGGACCCAGGTGAATATAGCCAGTGAAGTAGAACCCCACGACCTTCATGGAAAACAACACGGAAACGCTGGAGAGTTGAATCCTCATGACTACTGCCAGACCAGTTCGGGGGAGGTGGGTGAAGAACGTGCGTTGCATCCGAGGCCGCCTCCACAACAGAGATGTTCAGTTGTCTCGCAGCATCCAACAAACGTTGTGCTAGGGTCTGCAAAGGAGTAAACAAGAATGCATGAGTGAGAATCCACATAGTAGGATCACTAATTGCACATTCCACTCGTTACGGACCTCACGAGAGACAGAAAGAAAGTTCAGAAAAAACAAACAAGGATATGGCTTAATGAAGCTTACCAAGAACCCAGTCTAAATACAACGTCCCACTGAATGCGCTATGGCTTTGTTATGGACGGGTATGAGCTAATAACAATAACCACTAGGATTTAACATCCTTTCGGTGTCTAGCTACCATGCCACCAAAAGAAGAACGAGGACTGAGATGCTGCCAAATTATTCAAGCCTAGACAGGAGCAGTCGAGAAGCAGAGGTTGGGTTGGAACCACGAACCGTGTGGTTAATAAATCCGCATTTTAACCACTGATCCATCTCGAGTTCAAGATATGAGCCAGCTAGCTCACATGTCAATAATCAAATTAAAGGCAAAGAACCTACAAGTGGAAGGAGGAAAGCCCTCGCTGCTAATTTGTTTGTTAGCAAACATGAATCGAACATTGAGACGCCAATGGACACGAAAGTAAGCATCACGTCACCAGGGTTATTCAAAACTGAACAATCCCAAGCGTCCTCTTGAATTTTCCTGAAAGCGCCTTGACTGTTAGGAAATTATAAGCGAACACTGCAAAACGATTCCACAATTTTCATACTAACCTTCACCTTCCGCCAGATACAAGGCGTGGAGCCTGGACGCCAAACCATATACTACTCGCATGCTTCATCAATAGTACGCACCTTCAAAGATTGCGTGTGCTACCGACGTCCCATTCACTCCAGTTAGGTTGGCTTCAGCTGATGATCTATTCGGCACCTCATCGGATGTATCATGCAACTTTCGAAGCTGGGCACCATGCACTCTTTTCGAACCTCGAACGTTCTGAATTGTACAAACGTTCCTCGATGGTCGGTAGCGAAAAACGCGCCTTGCTTCCGACTGCCCATATTCCGCGACCCCAGTCCACTCCTTCTAAGATCCTGGTGATCCTTTCGTTCGACCCTCGCGCCTATGGGGAATGGTCGTACATTCCTACCAGCCGTTTCGTCTAATCCTTTCCTGAACGGTGGTCTGTTTTTATTGAGCCTTCTTTCCTTCCTCTCCGAGCTCTTCCGGAGACAGATGTTGTCGGCTACAACCCGCTTTCCTGACCAAATGGAAGGCGCTATGTCAACCGTATTCCAGCATGAATGGGAACTTACCTGACTGACTGGACCGAAGCACGATGTGCGAACACAATCGGCAAGTTCCCTTCCCAGTCACCTCTGATCGTCATCCACACCTTAATCGTTCGGTTAGATCGTTGGTTTGCGGGTGGTAGGGTGCCATTCTTAGCCGCTTGATGCCCAGCCTCTGCAATCAACTCCTGAATTCTTCACTGTCAGAGCACGGCTTTGATCCGTTAGGATCAATCTTGGTACTCCATGGTTGGCCACGATGTTATGCATTACCATTTCACCAATCGACGTCGACGTCGACTGTTAAATTGGTACGATTGCCGCCTCGACCCACTGTGACAGGTGTTCTATCGTTATTACGACATACTGACTTCCAGCTGTCACCGGAAAGGGGGCCATGATGTCAACGAATCATAAATCCTCTATCTCTGATACAATGCAACGACTTGTCCATGTCGTACCTCCTTTAGCAACTGGCGCCACTTAAAGGTCACCGCATTATCCATTGCCTCATTTCTCATCTTCGACTAATAGACCCTCTGCCGAAGTAAGTTGTATGTCTTGGTGTATCCTGTGTGTGCCATTTAGTGATATTTGACGATCAGCTTCCGTCCCAAAATGCAAAGTATCACGGGCGGTACAAAACTCGAATTGTTGACATTCCAGGATATTATGTCAGCTTCAAACAGGCCGTCTAACGAAGTGCTCCTGGAACGCCTTCAGTTCTCTATCTCTCTCCGCGTTCTCAATAACCCTCCCAACGAACACGGCGACCGCAGCCTTCCGAGTACGGGATCCTGTCGCTGTAGTTGAACCACCATTCTGAAATAGTTCGACGCCATCATGATCCACGGGACCCCATGTGTAGTCTCTGGACCTGACAACCAATCAGCCAGGTAGTTCTCTCTCCAGCACGTATCGGTTCGGAAGTCGTAGTCGGAATGCCCAACGCGATGACCTCTGGTAGCCTTAATCCACTCAAGGAGTTTGCGATCGGTCTCGACGTGAAACCTTTGCCATAGCAAGTATGAACCCCACTTATCTAGGACCCAGACTATCGCTAGACAATCGTTCCCAATTTTCGATTTATCCTGCTGGGCCTCAGGGTGATATGGTTCAGTGGTAAGAGTACGATTAAGTGACTGATTTTTTAGTAGTTTCCAACCGAGTCAGCTCAGTATTTTTGAGCTAATAAGATCTATTGAAGTTGGTTAAATCAGTCGCATCCTTAATCCTGATGAACAAAGGGCTTATAAGCGATTCCGCACAATGGCGTCATTGGAGTCAAGCCGTGTATTCCAGAAGGAATGGCATCCTTTAGTTGGGTTCCCCGTTCTGTGGAGTTGCTGTCAATCATGACAACAATGAACTGGGACCCTTCATTATTGACTGATGGCCACGATCCAAACGACTACACGGCTGACTAGCAGGTGGTGGAAGCACTTTACTGGAATCGCATATTGGCCAGGAATAGACAATGTTCAGAAACAGCTGAAGGGATCATTCTCCATTACCCGCGCGATGAGCAGCTACTCCAAATCGACGTTACTCAGCTACGGAATGACACGACAAACAGACCACCTACCACATCGATGTGCATTAATCTTAACTAGACAAGAAAACTGTACACCTCGAACAGGATTGTGTACTAGAATCTAGTTCAGTAAAGCGGCTTTAGCCATGCACGTCAACGCACCCGTCACTCCATAGACAATATGGACTATTGCATCAAAGCAGCCAGATACCCACAAGTGAATTGTAGAACATGAGGTCCTCCAAAGCAGTTCGAAGTGCAGCATTGCTGCTCCCATAGATACGGATATGACGGGTATTTGGAGGAAATGCCTTGCTGCCATTACACTCCCATCGAAGAGGGCAATGCGACCTGTGGACGGCCCATATACCGTTTCTTCGTTGCACGGAACTCTCCGTTCTTCGTCTGACCGCTACACCTATAGTCCCAGCCTGTGTAGCCTATGGTAGCATTGCAGCTTTACTCTTTTCTTTACAATAAGGCTTTCAACTAAGTCTTGGTTGTACGGCAGTGAAGCATCGGTGTTGAACACTGAGGTCATGTTGTCGATGATGATGATGATGGTTCATGACTAACTCGATGAGATTTTGCATACACGGACTACAGAGACAAACAAATCGTCACATTACAGTGAGATAGCTATACTGTTTTGAGTGTATTTCTCTGTTTGTTAACACCCAGCTTAATTCAGAACAACGAAACGTAATCGACTGTATCACACTCAGAATCCATGTAGTGAAATTATACCTCTAAGGCGTACACGAGCCTCGAAACTCGTTTTCCTAGTCAACGAAAGGCACATCTTATAGTATGCGGAAGTATTCGTCGTAGTTTTCAGGGTCTAGCTTTCAAGCATCAGGTTAACTAGAGTGCCATGACCAATATCTGTAACAAGAAGCAAGCTCACTGTCACCGTACCAGGGCAAACTGCTCGCAGAGATTAGCTTGGCTGAGGGCTCAGCGATGTGATTACCGATGAAATGTCATAGTGCACATACATCCCCACATCCAGCAGTGCCTCCACCCGGTCATCGCCCAACTACACCAATATTAAGCACTTATCCTCAACTTTTTTCACTACCACCTAGTGCAAACCCTATTACTCAGTGGAAACGCAATGGTTAAAAGCACACTGGCAATAACATTGATAGATTGGGAGCAATAGACGAGTGGACCTCCCAATGGATTCTGATTTTGTAAAAAGACCGACAACAGAAAGCAAAATTACTCTATGGATACATTGAGGAACTCAGTTGTACCATCCGCTACAGGACACACGTGTTCGGATGGGCCATCCCTATACTATGAAAACAATAGCGTATATGCAACCGCCATCACACGAAACGCTACCTTCGGGAAAAAATTCGTCACCAACCTTTTCGACCATTGGAGTAATGTACACGACAGGCTTCTCCCAGCATTTTGAAGCTATTAGCTCCCGCTCGACGCAGGTCAACATTTCAATATGCTTATCTACGCGCGAGGATGATGAAAAATCTATCTTCTTCCAGTTATGTTCATGCCGAAACTTTAGGCAAGTGAGGAAAATATGGCATAGGCCTCCCCCAGGTTTAAAATCCATGAAGCACTTGGCAGGTAGCTTGACAAACGATTTGGCCTGAAAGAAACATTGTAAATCAAAGCCTGCCTTACCGCCCGTAGTAATGATGACTCCTGAAACTGTAAAAGCTGAAAGCATAGCGTGGCAAGACTCTTGTTGGTTGGTGGTTCGGTTTGGGTGTACTTTTTGTGATTCCTTGTAAGCCACGTTCTTACTGGATCGAAAGTAGCTATAATCTCCGGGTTTTCATAAAACCTCGTGGACGGGTTGGCATCTTTAGGACGTGAAAGCCCCATTCTCTTCTACAAAAAAGCACCTTTAGCCTGCTCGGAAGCCGCGCCTTTATGGTAAATAGCGCACACAAACAAAACTCAGTCCTATTTTTCAGTTCAATGTTCTCAATAGGAACTGTAAGTTAATATCTTTCGGTAAAAACCAAAGGCCCGAAGAATCAATACTTGTAGGTTGTTGGTCGTGGTCACTCATTTGATATCTGTTTCTGAAACACCAAGGAAAAATAATAGGGCGTTGTTATTTGAGATGCCCGTCTTTAAATTGGCTAGCGGTAAATAAGCTTACGGAGTGACCTTAACCAGGGCAATTTATAAGAATAGGTGGGTGGTTGTTAGTTTGCACGCCTGAATTATGAATCCGAAGAAAGGGGGTAGACGTCATACTCAAAGGATTGGGGCATGGCTATCGTCCTGCGTTGATGTTTATTGAGGAATGAATAGCGCCGATTTTCGGTCCTACCTTTCGGCGTTCAGCCCCACCCAAACTTCCGAGATGGCCCACCCAGAGCTGTGACTGCCCTCACTGCCGGCGCCTTGCAGCACACGCCCGGACCTGTGGACATAATGAACCACATGAGTTCACTCAATTCTGATGTGTTCCACTTTGCACTTTTGACTTTTTCGAGTACCCACCGGACACCTCCCAAACTAGACGGGCATGTCTGGGATAG